CCCCAAAACCCCAAAACCCCAAAACCCCATGGTTCCGTGATTAATACTAAAATATAATTGATGAGGCTGTATTGTAAAGTGCTGTCCGAAATTTCATATTCTAGATACAGCCTTCTTACAGACTTGTGCCATACCAGCTTAGCACCTTAATTATGCCTATAAGCCTTATAAGTCATAAGGATGAGCACGAGTGACTTAGCTGTAAAATGAAAAATTCCGGTGAACTTAAGGTTTCAATTACAAATAATTTCTACTATAGTGATTTTCATACTTCCGCTACTATAGAAATTCCTCCGTATTTCCTGATTTCGAAGAATAGAGTGAATTCGCCAATTTTGTAAAATAGCCTAAAATGACAACTGATTAGATAGAATAAGGTGACTTAGACCAGAGGCTTCTCCAATTTTACCAAAACTGGAGTTTGTGCTTCGAAGCACTTTTAAATACGATTTCTATTGCTTTATAATTTTCATTCTCGAAATTCTCGAATGATTTCTTCGATCATGGAAACTATGAAATAAAGTTTTCTTAGGTGGCCTTTAGACATTAAGAGAAGTCTTTTGATTTCATACTAAGATTTCGCGTATATACAGAGTTCTAAGGGCTTGTGAAATCATGAAAGACTATACAAAATTGTCCTCATCATTCAAAGCAGCCTAAATATTCCAAAAATATATTTATTTGAACCTGTGAGGTAAGACCTACTTCACCTGACTATCAAGTTTCCAGATTCTAAACGCCTCTTCAGAATCTACTAATTAGGCTCTATTAATCAGTGAGACCAAGGTGGAAGAAGGTACACTAAGTACTGGACTTCTCTTTGATAAAGAGAAGTATTCCTTCCCGATTTATGGGCCTTTAACTTCTCCATAATCATCTTTGACTATGGAATTCTAACTGTTGTACTGTGAAGAGCATTCAGAACCCTCACTTAGTTTTTATAACTTCTGAAGAAGGTGATAGACTGATCCTAAAATTTTGTGAAGCAGCCTAAGGTGTTTCGAGCGAGTATTAAATGCCTCAGAATGTTTTATCAACTACTCCTCAAGGAACGAAATTGGTTCAACTACTGTACCTTAGGAGGCTTTTAGCTTTACTAAGAAATCTTTCATATTTCAAAATTTAAGATTAATTAAGGTTAAGCTGTATTTACCCTACTGAGGTTTCTTCAATGGAATCTTGCTTGTATATATTTCAGGCTTGATTGGAGTGTACCTAAGGGTACCCTTCCCATGTTTCTGGACATTATTCAATCAGTTCTGGATGATCTTAGGCGCTCGTGAATTGATCTCCTCAATATAACTTATTCACTGGGTTACGCATATTCAGTTACTGTTAAGTTGGCTAAGGTGGATGACATTCTTATTAGATTCATCTTCTAGTTTATCTCAAACTTTCTTCTTGAGAGCTTCGATACTATTGAACAACTCTCCCATATCAATACTTGGCTTTTGAATTGGTTGCTTTTGGATTCTGACAATCGAAGAATTATCACTTGCCTTCTCTGTTGAAATGAGGCTCTCATTCTGAATCTCCAAGTGAGATTCACTGTATTTATTTCTGCTTCAGTTGACGACAAGCATCAGGATCTTCCATAGTTCTATTGGTCTGTTTGGGCATATTTCAGTACTTTCTTTTAGGAGGCTCCTTATCTTTTATGTACATTTCTTCTTGTGGACACATAGCCGGACGAGAAGGTTGAGGTTCAGTTGGTCTGCGAGCTGCAATAGTAGCTTTCAAAGTCTGCTTCAACTTCTCACTAAGGATTTTGTTCCATCTGAGAGAATCAACACCTTCTCTCTTGGGCATCTCTAGCTTGTAACCGCTGACTTGCCATTGAGCTAACTTATCGATCCAAATATCAAGTGAAAGCATGACTTTAAATTTTTCCTTTCAGCTGGTGATGTTATCATGTGAACTACCGTCCAAGGGGAACTCATCAGTTAACCACTTCATCAGGCCCTTGCCTTCTACATTATATATCTTCGTTATGCTCTGGGTGATAAAGGCGTAAGGCTTCTGAAGAATTTGGTCAGCTTTGGTATCAGAGCCCATCTTTTTCAAGAATAGCTTGCATTTATGAAAAACTAGCTCAATCCATTTATTTCTGAGTGTACTGCACATCACCTCTGATTACCTGATTTGTACCTGCTGGGCGTAACTGAGGAGCGGATGTAGGTGCATTGCCTTGCCCTTTTGAGGCCTAGATGAAACCAATAGTTAAAAATGCCGCAAATTCTACCTTAAAATAGCTAATTTCTCTATGGTACTAGTGAATCCAAATTCTTAGAGGTTCTTTTCAGCATTAGTGAGTAGCCTTACCATTGGGTTATTATCCATACTTGACATGATCAAAACTTATTTATTATAAATTTCAATGAATAGCTACTTTAAAGGGGTTTTGGGGTTTTGGGGTTTTGGGGTTTTGGGGTTTTGGGG